CTCCTGAACAGCTTCTGGTTTGGTGTCGGCTCCTTAATGCAGCAAGGTATGCCAGGGTATTTGTCTTCTTCACTGTCAAAAACAATGTAATCATCCCATTCCTCCTTTGTCTGTATCATTAGCTCCTACACCCAGCCTCTTTACCTGACAAGCTCAGTGACTCCTATCTTCTGACTGTTTCATAAGACATTTGCTTGTCAAGAACAACTGCAGTGTTATGTCTCACATGACAAACAAACGCTGTTGTCACCTGCCTGCTGTTTAAAAAGAAAAGAGACGCCAGGCACAGAGATAGTTGAATAAGAATGGAAAACACTGTTGCATTTATCTCCCTGGAATGCGGTCGCTGGCCCTGCCTAAGCTATTTGAAAACCTGACAAACGGCTGGCAAATGCCTGTTTCTGCCAGCCATGCTCGATATTATTGTTGCGTTGTTCATAGCAGCGCATGGCGCACACCGTTGTAGCAAGATCTCCTCAACTAATGTCACTGTGATTCTGCTTTACACTGCAGAACTGTCAGAATATATGTCGCAAATTTATAGGATGGTAATGTGAAGAGATTTCTGGCCTTTTACCTCACAATGTTTCACAAAATGTTCTACTTCAAATTGTTGTGGCTCTAAAACCAAATAGATATCATTTGATTTTCACTTGGTAGGTTTCCCCTTAAAGGGCTGATTAAGGAAGCGGAGGGCTAGGAATTGCATAATTAAGTCAGCTGTGGACAAAAGGACCAAAGTAACCAAATGTTTAACCTCAGTGTAACAAGGAAAATCAAGGGGGCTTAAAGAGACTTGGCGATGGATCTTTGCCCGTAAGGATTGCAAACACATTCAGCAATTCATTAAGCCCAGAAACTCGGCAGCACTCTTGTGAAACTGCATAGCAGCTCTGCCAATTTGCTGGTGCGGCAGAGAAATATGAGAGAAGCAGCAGTATGCTGTTAGAGAGAGGAGGGAGGGAATCAAAATAAAATGAGCTAGTTAGTAGCGTATATTATTAAACCAAACAGGGGAGAATTTTCCATTATAATTCATAACGTGGCACATGGCCTTGTCTGTAAATGCCTGCGCTCCACTGTTTCTCACATTTACAGTCACTGAATGGAGTTGCTCCAGCTAATCAGCTTTTATTCATAGTTCCCTGCAAAAAAAATCCCATTGGAATATGCTCTTTGGTGTTTTGTTTGTCTCTGTAATGTTTGAATAGCAACATGTGTGTTCATATACATTATATTTGTTGCAATTTCTAAATCGCATTTCCAAAATCAGGCAACCAGCGAGCCATGCAGTCAAAAAATTTGCGTCTGATGCAAGACGCATCTGAATTTAAACCTGACACTGAGGGTGGCTTTCGGTGACATCCATTTGTGCTACAGTTCCTTGTAACACATGCTGCACAGCGGTATCTGCAGCGAGGTGTATATTTTGTCGATGTCACATTAACAGACATCCCTTGCATGTCTGCCAAACATGGTGACAGCAGCTGAGGCGGAAGCCATTTCCTTGACATGTTTAAAATGTAAATGGACGCGTTTGAGGAAAGAAAAAAAAAAAGGAAAGAAAAAAAAATCTACCAGCTTGTCTGTGGGAGGGAGGTGTCAGAGTCAACAAAAAGAACATAAAATATGAGGAGGTGCGAAAGCAAACACTTTGTGTACTTCAGAACTGTTCCTGGGGGTCTCAGTGGGCTTTTGCTTCCAACAAATACTCTTCTGATCATTTCCCATAAATTGGTTTCCCTGGTTATGCACTCCAAGAAGAGAGAATTTGTTAAGTCAAATACACAAACATCAGTTAAATTTCGAGTTCAGGTATTTTTATTCAAGCAACTTAGTCTTTTATCGTGATTTAAAGGCTTAAAATTCTCTGAGAAAACATCAACTCATGCCAATATAGACCTTTCATAGTCAAAACTTGACCCACTTAAAGTAAGGAGTGGTGTATTTTTTCTGAAGATGAGCCTGGTCTTCTGCTATTCCTTTTTCTTCTTATTTTCCCTGTAAATGACAGTCCTCAGCTGACACACTGGGGCAGTGGGTGTGAAGATGCCTGTCTGAGACACCATGCAGGTGTGAAGACTAAGAACATTGCAATTACTTCAAATCATGTTCGTACACACAGACATACACATACACATTTAAACACATCTAGTCATTCAAAATTCATGGGGCAGTATTTTCGTGATTATGAAATACTTTTGAAATAGTCTTTTGCATTGTCACTGCCAGGATTGTAATGACATGTATCAATTTGTTTGTAGTGGTTTTCTTTTCATCAAAGGTTCACCACCTTTTCAAAAATTCTGAGCAAGTAACATAATATACCATAAAAAATACCAACAAAAAACAAAACAAAAAATTAATAATATAAAAAAATATGTAGAAAATATATTATTCCACACATATGTCGACATACTTTACAATGCTGTTTACAAACTGTTTCTAAATAGACTACAACCCCTGTCACAGAGGTTTCAATTGATCATATCGCTGTGACAATATTATCGTATCACTGAATAAAACCTTTAGCATTCATGTTCCAACTTTTCCTTCCTTTCATTTCCTTCAGAAGCATCAGAGAAAGCAGAATCATTTTACATCTATGTCAAGCTCCATTATTAAATTTCATTTGAAACACTTTGTTTGTTTTTGTTGTCCAACAAATGATGCAAAATGCAGCACTCATGGTTAAGTTTTTTCTGCTAACATTACTTGCTAATACATAATTGACTAAAACGATCATATAGTGTTGTAAAAACTGTATTCTCACCATAGTTCTGAATTATGTCATCTGATTATGATATGTTGTTTGTGTTTCTGCCACCTGCTTCGTTGAAATACAAATTTATACCTTTTTACGATTTAGGATTATCATGTCATTTAAGATTATTCCAAGAATAACAAAGCAAACAAACAAAAAAATCTATAAAAATCATACCAACTCTTATTCTCAGGTTTCCTGTGTAGTTTTAAGAGATGAAAGATGACATGAGAACAGATTTTGGCATTTTTAGACACAAAATGTGCACTGTGGAGACTTTGCTGCCTTTGAGGCCCATGGGAAATACTTTTGCTCAGGCAGCTAGTGTGTAGGAACAGGATGGTGTGTAAATGCCTAGGAGAACATTTTCATTTTCATGGTTTACAAGAGATGAGCTCTCCCTCCAAGAACTGTATTGCACTGTATATTGACACCACTTTATTTCCCTGGCACTGTATGACTGATCTGCTTTTTGTATTTATTGGAGTGTTTTGATACAGTGCCATATAACGTTTCCCGCTGACAACAGTGCTTCATTGTGCAGAATTCAATTGGGTTACCCGTTGCTTCACTTCATTCTTAGTGCAGCTAGAGAATACATCTGGATCGTGCCACTCTGAAGTCATAGCGAATTAAGGGATACTACTGTCTTCCCTTGTTTGTAACCTAACCATGTAGAGTCTTTGTCAAACCACAAAGGACAAATCCAATCAAATTTGGTGGAAGAGGTTAAAGAGCTGACCACTCTGCCCCCCCTCTTGTGGGCTTGTTACTCTTCAGAATTGCCCTCATAAATCTTCTCAGTAAAGTAACAGAGTGCACAAAGCACAAGGGTATTTTAAAGGTTGTCAGAGATGAGATATAAAGTAACTCTAACACCAGTCAGTGAGCTGTTGTAAACATAGTGTTACCTAGCAGAGGACCGCTCAAAGTCAAGGCTGATGCGGACCTGTTCTGTCACTTTGGCAACGTATCTAATACCTGGATGCATCTTTTTCCGTTCTGTAAACAGACTGTGTGATTTGATTAAAAAATATATTATGTTTATATCAAGTAGATCTGGTGGTGGTTTTACGTGATAAGGATAGGAGAAGAGTGTCAGGTATATTTTGAATCTCAAATTGTTCTAAAGGATCAACTGATGTGTCAACATTAAATATAGTTAGTACCACATTATCTGAAATATGAGCTGAAGTCAAGCTGTTTAGTGTGCCCTCATGATTGCTTCCTGTGATGACTTGTTTTTATATTTCTGAAAATCTTTTACCACGCATTCAGCTTTTTCAGTTTTTAAACCTGTTTTACAAAAAGAACAGCCTTGTATTACAACAAACCAGAATTTAGTGTCTAAACCTCATTCCTGTCTTAGAAATGAAAATGTGATGTTCAAACTGCCTCAGACACAAAAAAGCACAAGCAAACAAATGTCTTTGAAAAGGGCTGGAAATAAGACGTGTCACATCAGGTTTGAATGGGTTAAACTGGAGGAGAAAAACATTTATGCCAAGTGTGAGCTTTTAGAAAAACATGGTTTGATCTGCCATTTTTAAATTCCTAACTCAGAGTTGGCAAACTTGCAATGCTGGCTTCAGTTTCTGTTTCTTCACTGACAATACCTTGATCAACTCCAGTGGCACTGCCAAAAGCATTTGCAGACTAATTAACAAAAATGAAAGTGATCGTGTTACTACATTCGTTCAATTCTACAGCCGCATTGTTGTGAGATTTATAAATACTTTCATTCTCTGTGTTGTTTACAGGCTCAGAACTGATGCCCAAAGCCCTGTCCACCAGGATCATTGGTGGGATCTGGTGGTTCTTCACACTCATCATCATATCATCTTATACAGCCAATCTGGCAGCTTTTCTCACTGTGGAGAGAATGGACTCTCCAGTGGACTCAGCTGACGATATTGCAAAGCAGACCAAGATTGAGTATGGTGTGGTCAAAGATGGAGCTACTATGACCTTCTTCAAGGTAAAGCACAAACAGAGTTTGAATCAATTAAGAGCCTGTTTAGAGATTGAATTGATAGAATTAATGGCCTGTATTAAATGACTAATGATTAGCATTGCTGTTAAGCCATTTATATTTTAAGAAATGTATGAAAAATGCTTTTTTTTCCCTCCTCCGGTTTCTCCACATCTCTAAACTGATGTATTTATGATTATATTAATTCCAAAGTTTCAGCTTTTGCCTGCGGGCTCTTACTGTTCAGTTGAGCTGAGGTTTGCTAGGAACTGAATTTCTGAGAGAGAGAAAACCCTGCACATTACTTCTGAATATTATCCCTAGGTTTATGGAATTTAGTATTTAATATAAAAACAAAAAAGGCACTATGAGCTTTAGTTTTTACAATCCAATTTTTTGTTGACCTCAGTGCTAACCTCAGGGCTGAATCTGCTGGGCTGTGGGTATAGCATACTTGTCAACACAGGTTATCACATTGTGCAGTTTTGGCAATTTATTTAATTTGAACTTGATTAAGGACAACCCCGTTTCCAAGACAATATTCCCAGTAACCACAACGACTGAAGGGCACTTCTGAAAATCATTATCAGGGCACACAGTTGGTTGCTGCAATATAAATTAACACCATTTATACGATAGCTATTTTCCGAGGTCTTCCAAATTATTATTTTAAATTCCTTTGGAAAATGATGGATGCACTGACCCATGAGGTTATGGAAAGAGTGGAAATCTAATCTTATACATGTACACAGTAAAAAAGCCAGCATGCAAGGACATGTCATGGTTAACCAACAGCTCTGTAAAGACATTATAATGTGGAAATATAAAAATGTTTTCAGGGGAACATCATCAGACTATATTCTGCACACATTAAAATTGTATGGATCTGTTGTCCTGGTACTAAACTGCCCTTCATGTATCTAACATCAGAAAAACACAAAAATATAGAAACATCAGATTTAAATCAAGCATTCATTTAAAAAAAAAGTGAAATTTCAAGTAATTGAAAATCAGTTTACTGGTAGGTTTTATTTTTATATGAATCAAACTATTATTTGCAATGCCAACTTATAGACAGATGCTCGCAGCTGTGTAAAGAAAAGTTATTTTGATCATTCTCTGCTCTCTAAGAATCTATAGTAGTGATCACAGGGTGATGAATAGGAGACACAGGTGTCTAATTACCCAAAGCTCAAGTGCCCTCTGCCAGCTCTCGCCCTTGCAGAAAGCCTTAATGATGTTAATGCAATGAGGCAGAGAGGCATGATATATACTGGCGAGATGGAGAAGGAGTAGATAAAGGCTTTGAAGATGCACGAAAATGTATGTATGTGATACTAATTTTACATACAAACTGTTTTTAGATTCCATGAAAAATGCAATGACTTTTTGGGTAGGCTTAAATAGCAAGCCACATTTGAGCTTTGAATAATTTCTATTAAAAATATTACAGTCATTTGGAGATCATTGTGGCAAAATGAGGAATAGTTAGAAAAAAGAAAAAAAAAGTTTGCCTATTACTACACCCAGTACCACAGACTGCTGATTGGTTGTAAAACAATTAAAAGTTGCGGTATGACATTTTACTAAGTAATGGGAAATCAAACTATCGCTTCTCTTTTTTAAGTAGACTGTTTTACTGGATTAACAATAACAAAGAACTTCTTTTAATAGTGTCTTTTACCATTTGAATGGCTTATAGTCTTTAGACAGTAATTATCTAGAATTGGACATGGCACAAATGTGACCTCACAGAAAATTGCATGAAATACCACATAGGCTGGTGCAAGACTAATGGAATAGCATTCCATTATAGCTGCTTCAGACACACTTATGAGAATAGATGCGTAAAAGCTTCAATTTAATGTCCTTTAATCCTGTGACAATGGATATCTAAGGGAGTAATAATTTAAATCTGTTTGGTTGCCATCAAGATAAATAAATGTTCTTTGCTGTAAATGAGAAAATAGCTCGTGTGTATTCTCTGACATTTTCTAACACTCAGAAAATACTCGTAGGTCTAAAGTCATTGGCTGATGAATGTGCAAGATTCCAAGGTTCACAGTATTTTCACCTCTGGTACAATTTGCATTTGAAAGTTACTTTTCTCCAGTTCTCACTCCCTTTTTTGTGTTGGAAGCAGTGTGTATTTTTAACTGCTTTTCCCTTACCTGCAGTGATGGAGATTGTTGAAATCATGTTCATATGCACATTTTCACATTTTTTTCTTTCTTTTTCATCCTGCACAGAAATCAAGGGTTTCTACATTTGAGAAGATGTGGGCCTTTATGAGCAGCAGACCCAGAACATCGCTTGTAAAGTCTATTGAGGATGGGATTCAGAGGGTGTTGAAGTCAGACTATGCCCTTATTACAGAGTCCAGCACTATTGATTACATCACTCGGAGAAACTGTAATCTGACACAGGTGGGAGGGAATATCGACAGTAAAGGCTATGGCATCGGCACTCCCCTCGGTAAGACTTGTGAATAATTCCAGAATACATTTTTGAGCACCCAAAGATGAAAAATTAAAGCCTTTTTCATAAAACATGTGTTGTTTCTTGAGGGGTGTGAGTGAGGGATTGCTTTTAGATGCAGCAGCAGTATAAAACATGTAGCTTCTGCTAAGACAGTGTGCTGCAACATGTTTATGAACCTTATTATCACACAGTCCAGCTGGCGTTTCTTCCAAAGTTAAATAGGCCTTATGTTGCTTGCAGGATCCCCATACAGGGACAAAATCACTATAGCAATCCTCAGCATCTTGGAGGATGGACGCCTACACATGTTGAAGGAGAAGTGGTGGAGTGGGAACAGCTGCTTGGATGAGGAGCGTCGCGAGACGGGCCCCATGGGGATCCAAAACCTGGGTGGTATATTCATTGTGCTGGCGTCTGGCCTGGTGCTGTCTGTTTTTGTGGCAATTGCTGAATTCATCTACAAGCTCAGGAAGACGGCAGAACGTGAACAGGTATGTATTCCCGTAGAGTAGTAGTATTATTTTATATCTCTGCAATGTTTTAGTACATTGTGGTGATTAGTGATAGTGATTCCACATGGCCTCTAAACTGAGCTCTATAGGGTTTTTTAAATGATTCACATGCATTTCTTTGGCTAATCCCACAATATCTACTTATTTTGAATGAATCCACTAAAGGTCACAAGAGATAGCATTATAGTATTGCCCTTTCATGTTGTAAATCACTCATTTTTAATCATGCATGTTCAAGTAGACGTATTCACCATCCCTGACATAGCAGTAATGACAAGCCATGTGCACTCCACATGTCGTGGTGCAGTTGACTCTGTTGACAGCCACACACATATCCTCATGCCAGCATTAACACAAGATGAATGTTTTAAACCTATTCTGTGCTCTTCAGCATGTCAACACTCCCCGCTGTCAGAACAATTTAAAGCTAAGGTATTTACCCCCCATCCCTTTCCCCCTCTTGTCCTTCTCGCTCCCCTTTTCATATCCTCCCTTTTTGACCAGAGGTCTTTGTGCAATGCCATGGTGGACGAGATCAGACTGTCGTTCACCTGCGAGAGACGGGTGAAGCACAAGCCTCAGCCCCCGGTCATGGTGAAGACGGATGCGGTGATCAACATGCACGCCTACAACGACCGACAACTCCCAGGAAAGGACAACATGAGCTGCAGCACTGGGATGACTCCTGTGTTCCCATGACACTGTGCGCCCCACCGAGCAAGAACCTCCTGAGCAGTTTGTCAGGGGCGGTGCCGGAGCTGAGAGACAATGGCTTAGACGGGATCAGCAGATACACCATCAACCACAGTGACATAGGGACACTGACCAAACACGGTCAACTCAAAATGGCAGCATCAGCCACACAGGTATGACAAGAATCACCACCGTATCCCAAACCACCAGAGTATAAAGGAATATCTGAGGTGGTTTGGATAAAAAAAAAAAGTTGATAAAAATTCCATACCTGTTGAAAGATACAGTAGACCCAAATAAGAATCAGTGTCAAGTCTGATGTTTACGTGCTCAATACAAAATCACACGAAAATAACACAACTTTTAATGGATTCTTAATCATTCAAACAACTGAAATTTTGTTGGAAAATGTGGTTTAATGCAAGAAAGACAGCTTTGTGGAGAATGGCAATAAAAAACTGAGAAGAAGGACGAGGCAGTTTTCATTGGAAATCAGTTTTGTCATAAATGAAAGTTATATCAAGTTCTTATCTTTATCCTGTTGATTTACACACTCCTGGATGGCCTTTGGCAGCATAAAATAGTGTTACCTCAAACATAATGCGTAGGTCTGACTGATTGTCTGAGTCAAAAGCTGTAGGAATACTCTTTTAGTATCTGCAATACTGTGATTGATAGAGCCTACGGCAAGATGTGGAACAGTAAATTTCAGTTTGTTGTAGTTGTGATGTGTACTTAACAATATTGTCACAAAGATCAACCATAATCACTGATGCATAGCAAATCGTGGAGACATCTACTGTATATTAAAAATATAAGACTCCACCATGGACTATTTGACAGTGTTATGGGTTTTTTCTTTTTCCTTTTTTAACAGAAGAACATTTGTGACAAATTTCTTTGTAGATAATTGCGTTCTGATCAGCTGAAATTCTGATTGCCAAAGATCTGATCCTTTATCAGAAATATATTCAGAACAGCGTGGGGCATAAATATTGAGTTAGATTTCAAACCACTCATTTTATGTTAAATGAACAAGATCATGATATGATGTTGTCCTTACGATTATGCAGGGTAGCAAGTATCCAAAGTAAGGCACATTTGGGAGAAAAAGGAAGCAAAAGCAAATTCAAGCTATCATAAATGTGGTCACTGTATAACGCTACTAATGATAATAATAATAGTCATAATAATAATAATAATACCTGATGGAATATTTGTGAATCTTTTATACTTTCAACCATAGAGGTCAAGAAAGTTTTAAATGACCCCGTTATCAAAATATAGCTTAAATGCTAAGGTCTGTAAAGTAATCCAAGGGGGGGGGGTAGCTGCCCTAATGTTCTTATTTTCTTGCCGTGCTTTCATTAATGTAAGGCGTCTGTGCAAAACGTGTTGCATTTTGCACAGACACCGTAGCTAACGTCTGCTATAAAAGTGCTGGCACAGACCAGCAGTGTGGGCAGGATTAAATAGACAAGGTTACAAGGTTGAGAACCAAAATAAGTATGTCTGCGCCTGACAATAAGCTAATGCACGGATAACTTCACATATGTGTCTTTTTATTGATTCAGTCATTAAACTAAAATCTGTTTGTAGTGAAAAACTGTCATTAAATTGGGATGAACTAATTGACTGATGTGTGCAAGGAAATGCAAATTTAAGTAAGAAGACACATGAAACAATGGAAAAAAGGGCGTCATTTTATGAATATTACCATATTTACCATATTTCTTCCCCAAACACACATATATTTTCCTTTGATTAACATTACTTTCTCTTGGATTGCGCTGCAGTTATTTTATCCCTTCTGGTTGTGCTCTTTAGTCATGTTTTTGAACCCGGATAATTTATCTGAGTTATTTTTCAAAACCCCAAAAATCTGAGCGACTACTGCTTATGCTTAGAAAATTCTGCAGGATTTTAGAAAACATGCTTCTAAGTAATTTCCAGATGTATAGTCCCTGAAATGGAACATTTCTATAATCAGATTTTAACCTGTGATGAAATGGTAAGGTGGCCATTTATTTTCTAAATTCTCATGCGTTCACAACATTGGAGGGGACTGAATAAGCATTTTCTTTTAATTGAATAAAGGACTGTTGCTGAGACAAGGCAAAAATGATTTTCTGTATTTTGTGAGTTTAATGTATAGCATATTCATTGAACTAGAAAGCTGATCTTTGTCTGTGGGGCTGTAGGACCACAGGATGTCCCACGAACTTCTGAACACATTTTTGAAAACTTAATATTCCAATTGTGATATATACAGGCTTTATTGGCAACAAAATGACTACTGTACAACATTAAAAAAATCAGTAAGGAGTGCTGTTTTTAAGTGGCAAAAGTACGTTTTTACATCTCACCATAGAAAGTCACCAGTTGGCTCTGTTTAATTACCAGATGTGGACTGAGTAAATTCAATTTGTACACATACTTGTAAACATGCTGAAAGACTGTGGCGAATAACGGAGGAGAGCTACTATTTCTGTGTTCACATAGACGTTAACACCTGTATGGCGTTAGTGTACATCTTTAGCAAGTGTCATACCTAAGGAAGACTTGAGGCATCTGTGAGCTGCTGTTGCCCAGGAGCCGAAAAAACAGCAAACCTCTGTGAGGTTCATGTTGTTGGGACTCAAACATGAAAAAAAAAACAAATATGTAAAACGAAAAAATTATGTAACTATGTATGATTCAAGGAAACTCCAACCTGTAAAACTTAGCATTGGTTTGGTAGAGATTTACTGTATAATTGTTTATTGATCCCCCATCTGCAAAGTATAGCGTGTAGATAAAATCATCAGGAGAAAATGTATTTTGCTAAATTTATACCATTATAGATTAAATCTGCTCACAAATATGTTCTAAATATAATTTAATCCATTAGAGAGGTCACTTTAACGTACTTCCTCACTTTATCCCAGTCCCATTGCCCTGGACCTTGTTTATTTCGTGAAAATGCATTATAAAATGTGTACTGAGTTGCTGTCATCTGGATTGGAAATTGTACTTAAATCTTCTTTTATGATGAGTTATATATTTCTACAAGGTGACAATGAAATGGAAATACTAAGATTTCCCAAGAGTTTAGGGAACAGTTTTTTAGACTAGGTTTATCTCGTGTCAATGGACCTTTACTCTTTATAAAATCCCAGTCAAATCCAGATTTAAAGTGTGACCGCTGCTGATGTGTTCATATAAATTCTTAATTTTCTCCCCAATGTGTGCTGTAGTTTTTCTTTCAGGTGGTTAAAGGACTCAAGCACTTCTGTAATTTGTGTGACATCAATTGAAGATCCCATCCAAACCTTTCAGAATTATTAAAGGATGTTTAATCTGGTTGATGGAAACTTTCTGAATATATGTGTCTTTTTTTGTAAATCCATGGGAATGCTATTGTCATTTTACACAAAAACGTATGAAAAGTAACACAAAGTGTAAGCTACATAAATCGTGTTCCGTTAGCAGTGCGTGATTTGAGTTTTGATTTTTCAGCAATCATGACGATATGCCTTCTTATGTATTTCTTTGTTTTTAGTTGCAAAGCTTCTATCGCCTGTCAGAAAACCTCTCAACAATACGAAACACATGTTGGTGCCAACCAGGGTTTTCTTTGTGGACATGCAGAATTTCTATGAATATAGTTTTTGTAAGATTTTGTATTAAAACGGGGGTGGGGGAGTTTGTTTTCCTAGTAACTATGTGTTAAGAGAACATTAGAATAACTGACACCTAAATAAAATAGGGGATGGGGGATCATCAAAATACTATAGAAAAGCTACTGAATTATTTTCTTTTTAACACACTGTGAATAATTCAATTGTACAGTTTGCTGTATGGGTTATATGAAGTTTTAAATAAAAAATAAAAAAACTTCTGTTTATCTTGTGGTTTGTCTTGTCTTACACTGAAAGCTTTTGAAACAGGCCTCCCTATTCATCATGCTCTGCTCATTTTCTTTGTAAAAGTATTTCAATGCTGTCAGCAGTCTCAAAGTTTTCTGATCTTTTTCTACGTTTGTTAGGTATTTTGTTCATTTTACCTTGATTTTCTTTTCATTCAATTCAAATGTTCAAACCTACAGTTCAGTTAGTACGTAGAAATGAATGGGAACTCATAAGATAACAATGTCCACTTGAAAAAAGAAAAGGCAAAACATTTACTCATGAAACAGTGTCACTAAGATCCTGAATGTGAAGCAACCTTAAAACTCCTGTTTTTAATGGTAATAAAATTGTGTCATTATCTCAACATCCCCTGCCACATCTGAATGTGAACTTCCGTTTTTTTGTATATAGAATATGTCACATATGTTACATTTACGCTAAATCTTGGTCAGCAAAAATTTAGCTAAATAAGTTGAAACAAAAGAAAAATTCAAGTTTATCTACCAGAGTTATTAACTATTGCATTGTAGACCTTTTTATCTGTAAAAAAAGCACAGGATTACTTTCTGACGTAATTTAGGAATTTAGAATAATATCTTCAAGAAGCATCACGCGACTGTAGGATGATATGAAAAAGCTTAAATAATCTTAAATAAAAACAAAGAGTTTCGCTGGACACATTTCATACTCAGAATGATTAATATTGACATGGTAATTTAGTGCAACTATTACTCAGGTCTACAAGTCACCATGAGATAGATTCCACAGCACACGAGTGGGATGAAATAGTCACTGTACGAAGACCCTTTGAAAAACACACATTTTTGTGTTGAAAACAAGAGATACCTTAACCTTCCAAAACTAAACATGTGAAGGTTCGGCGGTGGCGCATTTCATTACTATTTCATTACTAAACCATTCCCCTGAGATGGGATTTCTTGGCCATCACAACAATAAATCAGAACAAAGCAAAAGGGTGAGAATTTTTATTCTGGTCTTGTTCACAATTTTCTAGACAGTGTGTCTTATATTTGCATGCATTAGCTTCTGTGTGAAGGCAACACTGACCATCTTTCAACCAAAACACAGGATGAAAAAACACATGTTTCTGTCTGTTCGTGCATCAGTGAATATGTATCTTAATGTGAGGTATCAATACAACTGCAGTAGAGAGAGAGAGAGAGAGGGAGAGAGAGAGAGATGAACCGTGCTGACGTTCTAATGGCAGATGTGCATATGAAAAAAGCAGGGGAACCCCAGGCTATGGCGTTGAGGAGCAGCGGGCAGATAATGAGCGATGGGCAGGGACCTTCCGCCTAATAGGGAGATTTATTATCTCTCACTATCAATTAATCCCTTTGGACAGACCGGGGCCAGCAGAAGCACATCAGGAGTATGTAAAAGAGAAAAAGAGAGACTGAGGGAGGGGAAAAGCCAGCCAGATGAAAAGAGAGATTTGAAAGGACTTAAGGGGTGTCAGAATAAGGAGCAGCAGGGCCAAATGAAAATAAAAAGATGTGTAACAGCTGGGAAGAGCCAATTCAGTTTAAAAGATTTATCTTACGACAGGAGGGTGGCCGCACATTTTTACGAGATGATAAAATATAATGCACATTGTTTTAAAGATTAACTGATTGTTGAGTGGCCCTGTGATGGACTGGCAGACTGTCCAGGGAGTACCCCGCCTCTTGCCCATTGACCATTGGGACAGGCTCCAGTTTTCCCCGCGGCCCCATTAGGGAATAAGCAGTAACGATAATGGATGGATGGATGGATGGATGGATGGATGGATGGATGGATGGATG